TTTGATGGTTTGTTTTTAAAGGCAATAGCATTAACCCAATGATAAGTTAATGATTTTGCTTGGTTATACTTTGTTATGATAGCAACCACTTACGTTAATTGTATAATATATTGCTTTTTACCTATATACTTAAGGTCAAACATTTTCATTGATTCTCTTAAGTTGTAAATAAAGTTTGAACATGTAACACCTACTATTAATAAATACTATGCGTTTTCAGCATATTCCCAGCTGTTTCCATGGCAAGCAAGACTTCTAACGGGGACCGTTACAGATGTTCCCCAAACGCTCACCAAATCCATTTTTGTGCCCAATTCCTGTAAGACTTTTTTAAAATATGATCAGTTTGAAAGATTTTATAAAAGCTACAATTATATCAACTATATGTCATTTAACGTATTGTACGCGCAGGCACGTGCATGCACATGCAAGTTGATCATAGCATGTTGTCTAAAAAATTAACATATTTATATATCGTGAGAATCAATAATTAAAAAAGATCTTTACAATATATATTTTACTGTTTTTCAAATATATTGGTCATTTTGCATATTTCGCACGCGCACGTGAATGCATGCATGTTAAATTCATGCATTCAATTTTGACAGTACCATAATGTAGGAATCCATCATAGCTATTCATATTCTAAGTCTTATCACGTTTTGTTGAAAACTAAGAAAGTTATAGGCAGTTAAAGTTTCAGCCAATCAGGTTGCAGCACACATGGACGCGCATGCTTTTCATCATAATTCATATATTATGCTGTAGATCTTCATAATATAATATAACCATGTTGAATATTTCAGAGTATTCGGTCGAAAAACAAGAAAGATATTGAGACTTGAGTTTCAGCCAATCAGGGAGAAGCACACGTGCATGCGCGTGAGATCTTGTTATTTTGATCATGCCCTCTTATCTATGCTTCAAATATATCCTTATATTATGAGTTTCAAAGCATTTTATTAAAAATTACAAAAGTCACATCTATATCAATTATTTTGGACATTTCTCGTGTTGCATGTGCCCGCTCTTGCCAGCACACGTGCATTTGCATGCTTTCATAATAATTCTTATATATCATGCTGTAGATCTCCCTTATACATAACTATGTTAAATATTTCAAGGATTTTATCAAAAAACAAGAAGGATATTGAGACCTTAGTTTTAGCCAATCAGAACGAAGCGCACGTGCATGTTCGTGAGATCTTGCTATTTTGACCATGTCATCTTGTATAAGCTACTAATATATCCTTATATTATCATTTTCAATGCATTTCTTCAAAAATTGAAAAAGTTACAGTTATATCAATTATATTGGTCATTTTCCGTGTTGCACGTGCGTGCTCTTGCAAGCACGTGCGTGCAAAATGACCTTCGTTCGGCAAATCTGCATAACATGTCAAACTCTACTGACCCTAAAAACATTTCACTTTAGTCGGATGTGTGGTTTACAAGATCATTCGTGGAAAAAAATTTCCCAGGAAGAAGAAAAATAAGAAGAAGACACATAAAAAAATATGTTCCCCAACTGCTTTTGGGGAACATAATAACAGTTTAATGGATTTATGTTTCTGGTACTAAGTACTAAAAATGGCTAAAGTTTCATCAAAATCGGTGACCATGGGTGGCAAATAAGATAAATAGTTACAAAAATAGGCTATTAAATATCAGCAATAAATATTTAGTTATACATTTTTATTGCAAAAATTTTCACATAAATCTGCCTCTCATTCCATACAAATTACACCATTGTTTTTTTTTTTTTTAGATGGCGTCATATTGTAATTTAATAGTGATCAGTGATTTGCCTTTATATCTTGTTAAGTTGGATTAAATGTTGAATAACAAAAGGAGAACATTTTATAGTAATTAGTTTTGATGCAGTTAAATCATCTGGCATCGCTTGAAATCGCGAATCATTGCATCTTGGGGTATTTAAAAAAAATGTAGAATTGTGTAATGTCAATTTCCGTAAAAGTTTGGTCCTGTCTCCTTTTTGTATCGCTTTGTGCCCTCCACTTACGATTGTTCTCGAATAATAATAGGAAAAAAAATATTTATATCGATTGATACATAATATCAAAACAAAGTTCAACCTAATTCTACTGTAGCTAAGTTAGATGTACACTGAACTTCTACTTTCTCTGCAATTTTGAGTCATACTATATGAGTACTCATTAAAAATATCCTTGATATAGCAAATTTTACAAGTGAAATACCTTCACTTTATTTTTTGATAAGTTGAAAAAAAAACTTCATTGTTATATTATCTGAAATTGGCTGATTGAGATTTTATTTCTTTTCCTTTAACACGTTGTTAATAAGATATTTTCAAAAAGGCTACGATGTAATGCGAGCACTAAAGATATCAGTTTGCGTACACAAACGTTTATGATATGCCACTCTTCGAGATTAGAGTAATTGTTTTGACGTCCAAATTAAAAAAAAAAAGAGGCACAATAATTAGTCTTAAAATAACGCTATTGTTAATGAAAAACAATTGTTTCCAAAGACAAGGACATGCACATTTAAACTAATCTGTAATTTTAAACCACACAAAACCAGCTGAACTTAATTATGACTATTAACAGGATAATGTTTAAAACAAGTCCCTATTTTTTTGGCTCGCATACGCCGTTCTCGATAGTAGATGGAATAAGTATATAATGCTAAGAGGTAAGTCTGTTTGTGAATATTTACTTCTTTAAGTGACCAAAACATTTTAAAGATTAGGATTTTGGTCAAGAAAACATGTGTATCATTCACAACGAATTAATAAATTCAAGAATATGGAGATAACGAACAGTATTCAATATCAAAGTCCATAAAACAATACAAAATAGGAGCAGAGCAAACACTGACCTCCAACAGATCAGAAGTGGGATCAGGTGCCATGGAGGATGAGCATCTCCTCCTGACAGGTAACACCTTGTCATGATTTTGAAACAACGGGAAAATCCTTCGTCAATTCAGGGTAATGAAAAAGGTAAATAAAAAAATAATAAAGTGGAACATTTAGAGCATTCAAATAAAATGTAAAATATATAAAGGCTATCAAATGAAAAGCAGAAGGGTATATATAGTAATAGGTATGTCCGTCCGTCCATCTCTTACGCTTTGGGATACCCATCTCTTATCCGCAACTTCAGTTAACCCAATGAAACATTCACAGAATCTTTATCACATATTAACATTGCAACACATATTTTGGGTTTCCCACAGTAAAACATGGACACTACCATTATATTCATATGGATAGCGGGGGATGGGGATATCATGGAGCTCACAATATATACCTCTAGTTTTTAAATGTCTTATTAAATCAATCTGGCAGAATTTACTTGATTCTAAATTTTCATGAATATTTGATATATTGAATTCTTTTCACAACATCCTCTTTTTAAATGAATCATTAAACTCTTTTAAACATATACGCCTAATATGTCTTGCGACTAATTATTAAACTAGAGGTACTGTGAGCAATTAGCTCACTAAATAAAAACCCCTGCCTCCAATATGAATATAATGGCAGTATCAATGTTTTGCTCTGGAAAATCCAAAATATTTGTCAGATCAAACAGTAAAATAGAAGGTGCACAATGGCAATATGTAATAAAGATGCTGTGAAAGTTCCATTAAATTTCCTTCTGTGGTATGAGAGGAGTTGTGGATAAGAGATGGGTACCCCAAAGCGTAACGGACGGACGGACTTACCGATTACTACATACTCTCCCACTTTTCAAGCGGGGGTATAAAAATAAAGGATGAATCACGTCGGTACTGGTTGCATTTCTCTAAAATAAATACAACACGTCAATATTTTAGTAATTTAAATGGCAAAATTGGTTTTAAAAATTCTTGCAAATTCTGGTATTTTATTTGAGTTAATGTTCTTTAAACCGTGTACAGTGTGTTGTCAAATACACAATTTAAAAACCAAGTTATTTTTAGGTATGTTAATAATTACATGTAGCCAGAGCTCGTCATGCCAATAGGTTAAGAATCAGCACGCCTAAAAATATATTTAAACACCACGAAAAGAACCTTAATGAAAAAGAAGCTTTTATTTCTACTTATCTTTATTTCATTCATTTGAAAATGTTCACTTTTTATATTAATTTTGAGTTCTTATTTTATTGAAGGTGTTTCTTTCCTTTATATTGGAAAATATGTCGATAATCTCTTAATATTTACATTTTTGACTGCCTCTTTGTTTAATTAGGCGAGTTATTTCTTGATAATATAACCTGAATGTTATTTTCAGTGAGTGAACGATCAAATGTCTGACTTGCCTGTCAATCCGATCCCATGCATTTGTCTATGTGTCAAAGGCTCAGGTGAGCTTTTTCTTATCAAAATTTGTCCGTTGTCTGTCGTCGTCGTTGGCGTTTCACATTTTCATCCCCTTTTCAAGACTCACACGGCCAGTTTCAACTAAACGTTTGCAAAGTATTTTGGTGTAAAGGGAATTCAATTTTGTACAAATGAAGGTCTTCACTTTCTTCCAAGGGGAAATTATAATGAACTAATGGAAGATTAATGGCATTTTTTTTTCAAATCTTCTTCTCAAGAACCACTGGGCCAGGTAAGATGAAACTGATGTGGAAGCATTCCAAGGTCGTGTAGATTCGGGTTTGTTCAAATCATGACCCCCGGGTTAGAGCGAGGCCACAATGGCTGATCAAAGTTTTTCATATTAATATATAGGAAATTTTTTTATTCTTCTTAAAAGCAACAAATTTATGATTGGTGATATTTTTATGGAAGCATTCCCAGATCCTGTAGATTCAAGTTTGTTATAAACATGACCCCCAGGGATAGGGTGGGGCCACATGGATGATTAAAGTTTAACAAAAGGAATCTATGAGGGGGAAATCTTTAATAAAAATTCTACGTAAGAAGATCAAACTTTAAAATTGTTTCCTTTGTAAGGCTTCCTGTTAAATGTTTCGGAATATCTTTTTTAAAAACTTTTTCTTGTATGTTGTTTTATTTTTGTAGCTTCTTAAGTAGGGTATTTGACGGTAGACAATATGAATTCTGAAGTCTCTGGAAGAGAATGGCAAGTAAGTTAAATATCTGCTTTTTCAAAAATATTATCTTAAATGAATTATGCAAATACGTTTCATTCTCAAATTCCCTTTATAATTAAAGTGAAATTAAGTATATCGGTAAAAAATAAAATGTTTGGTGCTTATCAAAATACTGTCAAAGCTTATTGCAGTGTTTCTTCAAACTTGATGATTATATGATATATACAGGTCTAAATTGAACGTTTTTAGTCAACCCGTTGTCGAGATAGAGATTTGTAATGTATATTGAGTAGTTAAGGGAATCATTTACATAACATATCATTTCAGATTTATTCCAGAGAAGGGAATGCAAGTCATTCTAGTCCTCAAATTAAGCTTAAGAAAACAGGTACTGATTAGCTTAAAGTATCTTCAAATATAGCTCTCTCTCTCTCTCTCTCTCTCTCTCTCTCTCTCTCTCTCTCTCTCTCTCTCTCGACGTTAATTCAATATCTTCTAATAGTTAATGAATCCCATGTCTGTTCAATAAATGAATTTCATTTCAGTAAAGTCAAACAGGATTATGCAGTATGCTAGGAACAGTTATATCCATACGTTAATTCTTTAAAAGTTATACATGTAAATCAATTATACCTTATCCACAAAATTATTCCGAATTAAGAATTTTAAGTGGTTCAATGATTTCCCATATTGTTGAATAAACTGGACTTTTATCTCTTACTGATTTCATGTAAAGTTGGATATTTTTACATTGAAAAAAAATTATTTTACATAGATAGCCAGCAGACGATAATTTTAACGAGGGACCAATCCTTACTTCTCTTTACCTTGTACCTGAATGGTCAAAACGGTTTCTTAGAAATCCCTCTGGACGACTGTGTGTGTATAGGTGATATGAACGTCGCAAGGACGGTGAAAGACCTGCTAAAGGAAAACTTTTTACATAAAAATAGTAACAGGGTGGAAATCAACCAATCAAGACATACTGAGATCAAAGAAATCTTCAAAATAACATGCCTGCAGAGTTACATAGATCGAGAATTCCTCATACAAGTGGCTTCAGTAGAATGTCTAAACGACTTTTCGGAGGCATGCACTGCCAACTCGGAGTTGGAGGATGAATCTGAGGATTCTAAAACTGGAACACCCTACATAACAATCATGAGACTTATAATAGAAATAGAGCCGGAGGAGGCATTGAGTATTTTACGTAAATATGACAGTGAGTTTTTACTTCAATTACTGTAAAATTTCTGGAAACAAATTAATCCAAAATTACTTCTGTATTACTGGTACGTGTATGTATTTGGAAAATATAGAAACTTTTTTTTACATTTTTTTTTCTTTTTATACATCGTGGGATGATTGATTGATTGATTGTATGTTGTTTAGCGTCCCTCTCGAGAATTTTTCACTCATATGGAGACGCCACAACTTGCCGGTGGAGGGCTACTAATTTTGTCTATGCTCGGCACTCAGGGCCTTTGAGCAGTAAGGGATCTTTTTCGTGCCAGCACTTACTTTGACACAGGGCCTCGGTTTATATCCGGTCTCATCCTAAGGACCGGTTTCCCACAGTGGGATTTTAAGGATTGACTCCTTACTTCGCGACTCTAGAGCAGACGCTCTAACCACTGCGCCACGCGGGCGACTATTGTGGGATGTGTTTCTTTTATCATACATAGATATCTGTAGAATGTTTTTGTGTTTGTTTTTTTTTTTTTTACAATTTTTTGCTTAAGGTAGGTCCGTACTTTCAGAATTTTCTGTCAAACTGAATTTTTTTTTAATTTGAATACCTTGAATAAGTCTTAAAAAAAATTAAAACACCCACAAAAGACATATCTTTGCAAGATAATTTTCATACGACATGTCTTAGAGCACATACCACTAAAAAACTCAACAGCTAAATTTGAACATAAAGAAGTGTTATATCATATTCTATTAAGATATGCACCAAAGCACATCAAATTTTTGTTAAAAGTCACGAAGATCAAAAATATTCCTTTGCCAAGAGAATATTTGAATTTTTTACTGCAAAACATTAACAAATTGATGGTGAATCTGTCTATGTCTTCCAGAAAAAATCTCAAAATATCTCCTTTTTTTATAAATCTTAAAATCCACTCTGTTTAGATGCCATTTTTTTCTTTAGAATTATTAAGTATTATATCTAAATTTAACAAAAACACATACTTTATTATGTTTGACCAGAGAATTTTAACAAAACAGTCTTTTGAAGACGTATACCCCCGTATTTGGAATATCATTTTTTTTCAATTATTCATTGCAAACTTTTTAAAAGTAAAAATTAAATGGATGATATAGGCTTAAAATCAATAAAGATAGATCTAAGGTTTGTTTGCTTAAAAGATGATTAAAAAGATTTAGGTCTATAAAAGCAATTAAGAATTTTGAGTCTGTGTAGTTACCAAATGACATATAGATCTTATGAACACAGTGGAAAGTGTTAATTTCCATAAATAATGTATATTAAATGCTTTGTATGCACAATAACACTATAATAAACAAATATATACTTGCTAATTTTCTTTCAATCACCCAAAAAGATTTTATTCCAATAGACAAGTGATAATCGGAACTTTATATTGATATTTAGAATTAAAACCGGATCCGTAAAAGTATGGGCCTTCCTTAAATGTCAAAAAAGAAAAATTTTCTGTCTGCTTAAATAATTGCATAAAATTATACACCAGAACGAATAAATTGCTCGAAATTTCCGCCTTGTTCTATATGTATGGAATTGTAGATACATGTCATATTGCTTATAAAAATCTAGCACATCTGATAATAATGATGATAATGTAATATCATACTAGTATATCTTAATATTTTTCATATCTTATGAAGTTGAAGTAGAAGATGTTCTTCCTCCATTCCTTTTTCGTGGTGAATATGATGGATGGATTGAAAAATTGAGAGACTGGTGAGAGTGAGAGCCTGGTGTAGCAATAAAAACAAACATCCTCTGGAGTGTGCAGACGGAATAAATGCCGAGATGATAAACAGTGTATTCTCTGCTTACAGTATATATACAGGTATGTTTTAGTTTATTTTTTTTCACCTGTCAACTAGCACCAATAGGAATTCTATAAAAAAATTATGGCTTTTTTTTTTTGTTTTTTAGTGGTGGGGGTGGGGGATTTGATTTGAAAATGATAAAATAATAACAACGAAAAACAGCACCAATACATTGCATTTCTTGTAATTAACTAGTTGAAAATAAGTCATGGTCCCTTTGTATTAAAAACTTTTTATTATCAAGTATCTATTGTGTGTCAGACTCTTAATTACAATCAAAGTATTTTTTAAGCATTTGTTTTATCGGTTTTTTTTTATAACACTTCCAACACAAATTAAAGTGAATGGTTATGAATATTTGTAGGATTCCTTGACATAACAGACTGGGAATATTTTTTATTGATAATGTTCAAAAGAACCTGGTACACAAAAGATCAATACAAAACATTTAATTTATAGGACATTGCTTGTTATAATATCTACTGGGTGACAAATCTGTGAACATTTTTTATGTCAGTCTTCCTACAGTTTTTCGCTTTGATATTTTTTTCGATTAAAAAAAGGAATTATATCTATATTAGGACCATTTACTTATTTATTCCTTTGTTAAATTAGGAACGAGCACAGCAAGTGTCTCGATATAATAACTTATAGTTATATTATTTAACTAAAAATTATCTTTTAACTAAAGGTCGCTGTAAGAACTTAGTAAATATACCTGATGCTTATCATGGACTACTCTTCTCCATCCTGTTTTCGGAAGATCGTTGTATTTTTCTCGAAGACGACAGATGGCACACAAATCTTACGAAAATCAGAGAAACCTTTCAACTTACAGAAGAAAAAAGAACAATTGCTGAGGACATTGTTGTCATCAATGAAATAGTCGACAAAAAGAATATACTCACGAAGTCTGGCAGCACCATTTCATTTAAAACGTATGATGAAGATGGACCAAGTGATGCGGATGATCTTGTTATGATTGAATTCACCATGAGATCTCTAAGAAAACTGGAGGATTATGAATCCTTATTATCGCTAGGAACAAAAGCTCTTGTTTATAATTATTGTGTATTTTGGGATAATTTATTCCTTGGAGATTATGTGTACATTCCTGAAGAATTAAATGAGATGTTGATATTTAAACTTGGTTTTTGTGCAATTGAATACTTCAGCACCGGGGAGATAGACAATGATGATGACTTAAATATGCACTATTTATCGATATATGACGGGCAGAGAGATCTGGTGAACAGAGTGTCAGAGACATGTAAGCTCATCATCACTTTAAGCGTATTTAGTCTTCTGTGTAGTTAAATATACATTGCTGGCGGTACTTTTTATATATATATTAGTTCCTTTTAAAAAAAAATTCTTACTGGCTAAGATATTTGGCAAATCACACGTTTTCTGTATGCAGAAAAATTTGAATTTTTGGAATGAAACTGGAAATTCAAAGATATTTCAAATTGTTATTTCAGTTGGACTACCATTTGATGTATCTAATTTAGAAAGAGAGAAAATGGTCCAATTCATCAACTTTTCAAAGAGGGCATACAGATGGTTCGAAGGAAAAAAAAAACTAACAGGAAATAGAGTTAATCTCAGCATTTTTGGATCATTCCTTGTAGGTGATTTCAAAGGTACATGAGTGTAATGTTTCACAAGAAAAATGAATTTGAAAATCACATTCTTATTTACTTTTTGGTTCAAAAGGGAGTCTAATTTCCCTAGCTTCTTATGCCCAAACAAACCAAGATTTAGTTTATGCCCGTTTATGCCCTATCCGTCTCGTATTTATGTGTCACTGATTGTCTGCAAACGCTGCAAACATGCCCATACCTTTCGATTGTTTGCATTAATGGCATTTTGGGATTCTAAAAAAGTAACTCTTTGACGGAATCTAGGAGTTTGGCGTACTCTTGAAAAAAATATTTTACCCTTACTTATGAACATTTGATGCAAGCGCTTTTATATTTCAATGTGTTTTTTTTATGACAAGACCTTAGTCTAGGTACCTCTAATTTAACTTTTTAATTTTGACGTTGGAGTTAAATAACCCTGGGCCATCTCTAAATATTTGTTCACTTGCTCTCTCCCGACTGATGGAAAAATTGATAGATAGGCAGGAACAATCTTTTTATTCAAAAACACTTACAAATATAAATGAAAATGTTTGATTAATGATCAAAAGAAATAATTGTATCAAAAGCACTTTTCAATTGGGCCGATCTTATTCAGTCGGTCCGGAGAGGACATTTAAATAAATTTTCAAGAAGGCTTTGACCACAAATTATTGAAAGTTAATGTTAGGGTTTCATACTTTGAAGATCTATTTATCATTGAAACCATTTTTTAGGAATAGTGGAGGAGGTTATAAATTTGCAATGTTGAACTTGAAATCTAACTTTCAATTTAAACCTTTAACCTTTATAAATTTTCACTAACACAAATTTTGTTTTTATTTTTAAAGCTGAATCAGTGCTTAAATTGTGTGAAGATCAGTTCGAAGAAAATGTACAAGAAATTACAGGTATGTAGTCTGTCATTCTACTTTCGGCTGATTTTATTTTTTGCTAATTTTTGATTATCTACCAAAGTATTTAATATTTTCAATTAAATATAGTCAAAGATTAATTTTTTGAAATCAACATAAAATTGAAAAGATTATACGCAATTATATAATTTGAATTGTGTTATCTAGAACATATACTGACAGTCAATTGAGATGCAACACACTCATTTTAGGGGGAAAATTATAAAGCTATGTACCAAAAAAGTTAGGAAATCTTTGACTTTGCCAAAGCAGTTAATTAATGGTTTATTGACCTTCATTCCATTAGTGGAAGTTGCTTTTTAGCCCTCTTAACAGAAATCAAAATTTTGCATTTTTAATAAAATATTTAACAATATTTAGGAATTTCGAGGTTTTGTAGCTGTTAATCATAAGTATTGTACCAAAATCCCGGGGAAAAATTGTTACTTTCTTTTACAAATGTGCTGGCTATATTTCCTCAATATGACTGATAGCAGGATGGAGCGATGTTTTAAGAGTTATGTGTTACTTTCTAAGGTTGGTTGATAACATTAAAAATGAATTCATTAAGGTTAAAGTAAAGTTACCAAGAATTGATGCTTTATTTGAACAATAAATATTATTTTTAGACCTTAGAAAGTAACAAATTAAATAACTCTTAAAACATCCCTCCAACCCACCTTGCAATTAAAACGTTATCAGTCCGCCATATACAACAAATGCATCATGATTTTTCTACCATGCATTAGGTTTATTTTTCTCTTAATCTGAGCGAAATTAATATTCTTGGGCATTTTTGAATTCATATTTTTCAGATACTGTGGTCGAATTTTCTCTAACTTAGCGTATTGTAGTAATTCTTAGACTTCCGGTCAAGAAATTGTCATTTATGCTATTGAAACACATGAACCTGATGAGTCATTATGTAGTGTATATTTGCATCTCCACTCTCTTTTTTTTTTCTTTATTTTATTAATTTCCAGCATTAGCGATGAAAATGCTTGCTATCAGTAAATTTGAGGAAATATAGGCACCTCATCCGGAAATGAAAGAAGGATTTTTCTTCCCGAGATTTTAGTACAGCACTTATGATTAACAGCTACAAAACCTTGAAAACCCAAAATATTGTTAAATATGTTAATAAAAATACAAAATTTTGATTTCGTTAAGAGGGGTAAAAAACAACTTCCGGTATTTAAATGAAAATCATTCAACCGTTAAATAACTGATTTGGCAAAGTTAAAGATCTAGATTTCCTAGATTTCCTAACTTTTTTGATACATAGGTATAAATCGTATATAATTTTCCTCCTAAAATTAGGGTGTTGCGTTTCTTTTGACTATCAGTTTATATAGAAATGTTGAAAGAATGTTACAAAAATATCATTAATATGTGCCCAAAATTGTAAAGAGTTACACTTAAACAGAAAACTACAGAAAACGCACTTTAAACCAAAATATATTTGACTTCTTAAGGACATATGATACAAACAAACATGTCGAAAAAATTGGAAAATAACAACTTTGGTCATGTTTACATGAGTAACATGAATAAGTTTAACCGCGTTTTTTTTTTTTTCAAAACTTCACAAAAATTGGATTTGAAGTGAAAGATAATTGTATAGATTAATAAGGATGGTTTCAGAAAGTAGACTTTTAAACATTACAGAAGGTTTAGATTTTTTTCATATTATAGAAATTTGTTATTTGCATCATTGGCATTGCAATTACGCCAAAAAATATATACGGATCCAGGTATACATTTTTCGTTTGTATGATCTGTCCTTAATGTGGTAGGATTCTACAACCTTGACAATTTTATCAAAATTTGTCAAAAGTACATACAAACCCATGCATGAAATTGTTTTGGTGGTATTTATACATAAATTGTCTATTACAAAGCTGTAAAATTAAATTTTGTCATATTGAATGTGTTAGAAAAAAAAAGATGCAAACGATAGTTTGGTTTGCAAATTCACTTTAAATATGCCATTATTAACATAATGAAATACGTCGAAACACTGTTCATACACCGGAGACTTTTTGTTTCACATATTGTAATGAACAACAATTATCTCAAACGTTCATAGAAATCTGGATATAAATTGTGTTTTTTGTGCTTTTTATATACCATTTTGGTACACTTGTTCATTTTTTTTCAGATCATGGACGAAAATTACCATACATAGACAAGAATGTTGATATTCTTTTAGCCATTTTATTGGCGGATGGGTATCGTATTCCATTAAAACATTCATGGAAAGAAAACATTCACCGTATTAAAGATATATTCCATGTTCAAGTAGGAGATGGACATACTTGTGTACATGAAGCAAACATTCATGATATTGTATTACAGAATGAAATGCTAAAAATTTCTGAAAATTCAATTTGTTTTCGATCTGAAAACATTCGCCATTATGTCATGAGCTTTTTTGTCTTCCATTTTCTGAAAACTGATGATGACTACGAAAAGTATATAAATCACTCATCAGTGGATTCCTTGTTTGAATATGTTCGAACATGGTGGTACAAAAGAGATGAAGCAGAACGTTGCATGTACCTACCCAATGGTATGGAGCGCCAATTGATTTTGAGGCTTGGTTTCGATGCTTTAAAGCACGTGATGGTCGAGGAACGATATGATAGTTTGGGAGCACGAAATGTTGTCAATAGACGTTTTATAAATGCTATTCGTAAGTTTTTTTATCATATGGAGGGCGGGATGGAACCAATGCTTGCAAATATTTTTCATACATTGAAACTGACCCACTAAAATAAATATGAAAATGATATACAAAAAAATGTATATTCAAAATATGTAAATGAAATGGCAATATTTGTAGTTAACATACCAGAGGAAATTTTGCACTGGGACTACGATGCTCGATGTAGATATGTAGAAATGACAAGGGAAGGCTCATATAAAACACATAGAGCCCGTGCAATGCTGGTCGGATGTGCAGGAGCAGGAAAAACTACTCTTCTCAAAAGGCTACGGAAACAAAGATTAGAGGAATTAAATCAAACACGATCTACGAAAGGATTGGACGTACACACAGATATATTTGAAATAGATGAAAATGCGAAACGCCTGAAGGGTGAGTAGCATTTTGTGAAGATAATTTTGGTGATTTATTGTTAGGTTTAAGACCAGTGATCTTCATGGTTTTCATTTATTAATTTAGAAGTCGAGAAATATAATATGAATGAAAAACAAAAACTTCTGAGCGTTGTAGACTTCGGAGGACAATGTGCATACTACGCCTGCCATCAGGTCTATCTTAGTAGAAGAGCATTCTATCTTCTGGTGATTGATGTTACTAAAGCATTTGGAGACAAAGTCGACCAGAGGCATTGTGATCAAAGGGGAACAATGTTCGAGGACTGGACCTATGGAGGTATTTATATGTTGATATACCAGATATTCCAAGAGTCCGATCAAACTGCTCGAGAATCGACATTAAATGTGTGTTGATAGGATCACCCTCACCAGGCCACAATAAACACATTCGGGACTTTCGATCATAAATCAATTAAAACAATTCAAATTACAAGAAATATCTGATTGTATTATAAATACAATGTATATGTAACATAAGATCAACTGAACATCATAAATATGTAAATTCTAAATATATCAGTATATAAATAAAGTCTGAACTACTAACATTACAGACGCAATGCTTTTATCTTGCGCTTTATTTTCGTGATTTTGTTTACGATTTCTTTATTATTAGACTACATTGTGTTTTGGCTGAAGTCCATCCACACATACTGTGAAGATGAAACATCTTCAGTATCTGTTATTGTTGTTGCAACTCACTGCGAAAAGATAACACAAGATGTGAGTATGATTTTAATTGTATTTTTATCTCTTCTTACGATGTCAGCAGTACTTTCTAAAATTCCTGTAAATCATCCAAAATGTATCTGATTTTCACTTCCGATTTTTACTTAGAACGAACCATTTTAATTTATTACCTAGTCATTCAATTGTCTTATGTAGTTACAATAATAATCAAAAGTCTTAAAAAGATAACTGAGATTAAATGTGATTACTAAAATAGCATTAAAAGCAATTCTTTTCTTTCTCATTGTTAGAAAAGACAGACTTTTTATTATCAGCTGTTAGATTCGCTTCCTCCACAATCTAATCTGAAGCAGCTTCTAAGCAGGGAGAGATGTTTCTTTCTTGGCTATCTTCAGAGCGGGAGGAATGGGATTGATGAGATAACAGAACTCGAGGATTGCATTTTTTCAATTGCTCAACAAGATCAATGGTGCGAGACAATACCTACAACATGGGTGCTCTGTGATATTACAATTGGTAGTCTCCGGAGATTGAATTCAAAAATGATTTCAGTTCCTGACCTCTTGGAGGAATTTAAAAAAAATAAAATAGATTTGAATGGAAATGTAGTGGATATCTTAAAATTCTTTCACGACATAGGAACAATAATATTTTTCAAAGAAGAAAATCTGCAAAATAATGTCATTATAAATGTGCAATGGTTTGTGGACTGCTTTAAACATATAATATCAGACGTGAATCATGTAAGAGATATCGCTGAAAATGATGACCAATGGAAGGAGTTTAATGACACTGGTCGTTTGGAAGATGATCTTCTGTACAGAATATGGGTAGAAAATGAAATTTATTTGTCTGAGTCATATGAATATTTTTCACTACATCCTATTTTGCCACGCGAGATTTCTTTACAAATTGTGTGCAAACAAGATCTTCTCCTTTACATGCAGAGGCTTGGGCTTTTGACGATCGGGACTGCTTCAAATCCCCATTACGTGCCGTGTGTTAATAAAAGAACTTTTGGATTATCAGAAAAGAGACTATTCCAAAATTTTAAAAATAGGGCCTCTGTTCTTGTATTTCGATTTCGATTTCTTCCTTATTTTTTTTATTTTCGTCTTATCGTTGCATGTCTTGTAAACACAAAAGGGACATGGACAATTTTACAGGACAATGGACCATGTTTGTATAAAAACGTTGCTTGTTTTATGTACAAACAGCATTCTATCGCTCTTGCAGTAACAAGCTCCACAATTCAGCTCCAGGTGTTTAAACTCGATTGCATGAATCTTATGAAAGACGTTACTTTAGAAATTCGTAAAGAAATAGAAAGCATTTTAGCGGATGTTACCCGAACCTTTCACAAGAAAACGCTGTTTACAGTCTGTTATCAATGTTCGCATCAAAGTGTGTTTGAAGAATATAAAGATTGTTTTGTTGAAGAGAGAGAAATTTATGGAAAGGCTGAGATTGTGTGTCCACGACACGGTTTAATGAACCATCATAAAATAAATGAGCAGGACTTGTTACAGTACTGGAATAAGGTAAGTAAAATAATTTTACATCCCAGGATGATGAAACATCTATAACTTTAGTTAAAATATTCATGATATTCTGAAATGTAATAGTCAAAGTCAAATATATTCATCAATATTAGAATCACTATACATGCTATTAACCGATTTCTTAAAGACTAAGTTGACAATTAATAAACATTTTACAGGAGATAAAATATTTTACATTAAATTAAGTTTGATTCATGATTAAAACGTGTATAAGTCCAGATCTATTTGATTTTTAGATTTTTTAAAAAAATTTTATTAAATATTTATTTCGTTTTAAACGCAAAAAAATTATGATCTACTACCTTGTACCTTGCAAAAATAAATTTTGAAAACTTAGAATGCAAAGGAAACCAAGGTTTTGTTCAAAACATTAGACAAAATATACATGGTTATGTTGAAATAAATCTCAGATTTTACAAAATTGGCTTGACACGAAAACTCGGAATACATTGATTAATCAAATGAAAACGAAATGGATTTCTTTCTTTTAAAAAAAAAATATTGAAACACTGCCGTCAGTTGGGGGAAAAAATTCTTCCATGTATGATAAAAAAAAGTACTAATTAATACTTTTATTGTTTTTCAGAATGTTCAAGAAAACATGAAGGGTAAACAGAAATTTTCAGGTATGTTTTTTTATATATACGTATATGCACGTGCATGATTTTTGCTTTTTGTGAAATTCAAGAAACAGAAAATAAAGTCCTTTTAATTAAGTGTGGTAAAAATGTCCGTATTTATTTCTTTCCTAAAAGAATAGAAAGCACGGAAAAGCCTAAGACATTGATATTTTGTTGGTTTTTTTCAAATCTTCGCAATAGTAAAAATCGGATAACATGTGCTTCTTTATTTTGTATTTCTTTTTTTGCACAATTCATCTATATTAATTTTTCTTTATATGTTATTATATTTCTATAAATATATTGTTAAATCAGAACCTGAACAACGTCAAGGAACATGTTTGTTATATGCAAGATTATCACCAGAAAAACAATTTTTGAAACATTTGACAAGCTTACCGTGATTGGACGAAATGCTCTTCAGTTCTACTTTGATACCGTGTTTCCCCCACGAGACCTATCAGAGACTTTACAGAAAAACAAGACCTACATGGAGCGAGGTCCATATAAATTCGACGAAGAACAGCTTAAAATATTGTTTCCAGGTATGTTTAATAGGAAGAAAATGGACATATTTCAAAGAAAACCTTAAGTATTTTTTTTTTAAAATACCACATTTGGATGGTTGTGTTTTCCTATCCTGCTGCTTTTATGTGTATCTTTGTCTTTTTACAAAAATATATCTTAAATTTGAATAAACACATTATCAAACAATTTTGAGAAGAAAAGGGCATTTTTCAAAAGGGAGAACAAAAATAAGAAATTATATTCAACTTTTTTTTATAACTTTGTGAAACGCTCAAAGTTAACTGTATTTACGCTAATGGAATCCTTGTTTTTCGCAAATGGAATTTTAGGCAGGAAATTTTTATGACACATGATTTTTCAATATTCAATTAATTTCTGGGGGTTTTCCATTCAGTTTACCATTTTCAATGCACTTTCAAACAAAATGCAATAGTAAATTCGTTTAATATTCTCACAAAACTGTTTATTTGATAATTTATCTCACATACATATACCCATTTCCCAGAGAAACCTATTTTAAGGGTGTTTAACTATAAAACATTGTAAGGTTGTTTTAGCATTCATCAAACAGGGTCATTATACGCTCTTGTTTCTGTGTAATTTGTTCGATAATTATTTAAGTTAATTTCATTTTGACGCACAAGACAGGAAGCTTACCAAAATTCCTAAAAATAATAATTTAGATATATTAATCATTAAAACTCTAAAGATTAATCAACAAGCTGTAAACTTATCCCCAGAAAAAGATAATATTTTTCACTTTTTTCACTTACTTTTTTAACTTGTAGTGATTTTTCTATGGTTTAGTTGGTAAAGTTGAAGAAACAAAGTTGCTATTAAACCATGAGTTAATTAAAATTGTTTGTTGAACAGCTTTAATATATCTTAACAATTACATGTATTATTAAAATCTCAACTACGTTCACTAAACACTGATTTTAGAAAATGGAAGCATCCCATCTCCTTCCACATTCGATGTGACTATAATGTACAAGCTTCTCAGAAATTATGGGCATCTTTATTCGAAAGATCTACAAGCTGATTCCAAAATTTGGGGGAAGAAACCAGATGTAGGTCAAAACAGAAAGATGCACGATATTGAAAGAATACGTCACTATAGAAACATGGTTGCACATAAAACAGAGGAAACGGAAGTCATGGAGGAGGACGCCTTCGAACTCCACTGGAGGGATTTAACACAGGTGAAGGATTCAAGATTTGAATAATGCCCACGTGGCGAAATGATAGAACGACTGCTCTATTTTCGCGAAGTTAAGACTTAATCTTTACGTTGTGTGTTCAAATCCCATTGTCGGAGTTGAATTAAGCTGTATAGACCGACGTGGCAAGTGTCAAATTTTGCAGCTGTTCATCGGCAAGTGGTGGTGCAACTACATGTGAAAAAAAATCTTCGAGAGGGATTTTATTTACAAACATCCACAAAAATAAAATTGATATATTATTATTTTTTGAATTCATGATTTATTGAAATTATTTCTTTTCATTTTTGATTTAAAATCATCATTGATGTTCAACCACACATGTTACGCTCACACGGTGCAGTGTTTACAGGGTATGCTATGTA